CACTATGCCTTGATGCCTTTATGTATGAAATTAAGACTAGCTGCACCAGGTCTTAAATTGTATTATAAAGCAGCACTCATCAAAACTACTTGGTACTGGCTAAGAAACAGAGCGGTGAATCAGTTGAACAGGTTAGGTACAGAACACAAAGTAGTCAATGACTATAGTAATCTACTGTTTGATAAACGTAAAGACACCAGCTTCTGGGATAAGAACTTACTATTTAACAAAAACTGCTGGGAAAACTGGAAAACAATATGGTAGAAAACTAGGCATAGACAAACACCTTACAAAGCATACAAAGATAAAGCCAAAATGGGTACACAAATTTAGATATAAAGGATGATACTATAAGCAAATTAGGAGAGCACGGAACAGTTTACCTGTCAGATTTACTAAGAATGGAAGAATTAACGACCAAACAAGAGAAAGAAAACATTATGAAATGCAAAATGGATAATTTTGATTACATTAAATTGAAAAGTTTTTGCATGAAACAAAGCCAATGCAACCAAGATTAGAAGGGAAGCAGAAAGTTGGGAAGCAATTTTTACAATCAGTGTCTTTGATAAAGGTCTCATTTCGAAAATATATAGAGAACTGAGTCAAATTTATAAGAATACAAGTCATTCACCAATTCATAAATGGTTAAAGGATATGAACAGGCAGTTTTCAGAGGAAGAAAATAAAGCTAACTACAGTCATAAAAAAAAACGCTCTACATCACTACTGATTAGAGAAATGCAAAATAAGACAACTCAGGTACCACATCACACCCATCAGATTGGCTAACATGACAAAACCGAAAATGATAAATGCTGGAGAAGATGTGGGAAAATTGGAACACTAATGCATTGCTGGCAGAGTTGTGAACTGATCCAAACATTCTGGAGAACAATTTGGAACTATGCCCAAAGGGCTACAAAAATGTGCATACCCTTTGTCCCAGCAATAGCACTTCTAGGTCTATATCCCAAAGAGATCATAAAAATGGGGAAAGGAACCACTTGAACAAAAATGTTTATAAGCAGCTTTTTTTGTGGTGGCCAAGAATTGGAAATTGAGGGGATGCCCATCAATTGAGGAATGGTTGAACAAGTTGTGATATATGAACATAATGGAATACTACTGTTCCATAAGAAATGATGAGCAGGCAGACTTCAGAAAAACCTGGAAAGTCTTACATGAACTGATGCTAAGTGAAATGAGCAAAACCAGAAGAACATTGTATATGGTAACAGCCATGTTGTGCTATGAGTAACTTTGATAGACTTAGCTCTTCTCAGCAATGGATCTAAGACAACTCCAAAAGCCTCATGATGGAAAATGCTACCCACATCCAGAAAAAGAACTATGGAGTCTGAATGCAGATTGAAGCATACTATTTGCTCTTTTTTTTTGGTTTCTTCTTTCTCATGGTTTCTCCCATTGATTGTAATTCTTCTTTACAACAGGGCTAATGTGAAAACATGTTTAATATGTATAGCCTATGTCAGATTGCACACCATCTTGGGGAAGGGGAGAAAATTTAGAATTCAAAATCTTATGGAAGTGAATGTTGAAAACTAAAAATAAATGAATGAATGAATAAATGGGAGGGGGGAGAAGAAATCAGGGCCCTAAAACATATGTTCTCCAATGTCCCCTACAGCTTTGTGTAACAGCTAGAGTGCTAGATTAAGAAGTTGAAAAAACATGGGCTCGAATACTTAATAGCACTGTGATCATGAGCAAGTGACATAATCACTTTTAGCCTCAGTTTTCTTAGCTGTAAAAAATGAAAATAATAATAATACTTGAAGCGCAGGATGATGGAGTAAGTGCATAGAGAGCTAGCTTCAGAGTCATGGAGACAGAGGTTCATTGTCAACCTTCTGCATTTGCTGTGTAACCCTGGATAAATCACTTAACCTCTAGGTGCCCCAAGGTAACTATGACAAAAAAATTAAAGAGCAAGCCAGCTCTGCAACGTAAAGGGTGTCTCTTTACTCTGGGTTCCCTTCACCAATGAAATCACAGATCTGGTCTAAAAAAAAGAAAAACAACAAAAAACAAAAAACTCTATAGCAACAATAATGTCTATAAGGTGACTTACCTAACAAGTAAGATGCCATTTATATACCTTGAAAACCTATATGAAAAGCAACTTAAAAAAAAATTTGACGTGTAATTTCTCTGATATAGGGAACTCCCTGTGACAAAGTTCCTCTCTACCAATGCAGATGCTTTATAACTTACTGTCTCAGAGAGTAACCTAGGGCACTAGGAAATTAAGTGATTTGGCCGGAGTTACACCATAACTGGGACTCAGGTTTTCCTGACTCTGAGGCTGGCTCTCTATCCACTATACTATCATATCATGTAGCCTCTACGATAATCATCAAAAATATTATTATATCCCATAAATGTTTGACTAGTTATGGTTAGGTCTGAACTCTACTATTCCTTTTCCTCCACTCAAATGTGATGTAGGTTTGAGCAATGGACTTCTAAAAGCTACCAACAAAATCCAGGTCTTGTAATTTTCCAAACAGATCTTATAAAACCTCTCTTCCTCAAGTACTAGTTCCAGACAAGGGAATATTTAACAAATATCGAATGACAAGAGAAAAGTAGAGAGAAGCTTTTTCGTTTGTTTTTTAATTTAAAGCTTGCTACTGGAAGAGTAACCTCGAAAGCAAACAAGGAAACTTCTTAAAGTGGTGTTGTTTTTTCAAATGGTCCTACCTAATATAATAAAAGATTTGAAGAAGCCTGAAAATTAAACTGTCAAAATCTTGAAAGGGATTCCACATCAAATCAGTCTCTCTTGATTTTTAGTATTAAACTTTTCAGTATGTGAGGGCTGGATCTGGAGTCAAAATAATAATAGTATACAGTATAACAAATACATTACAGGTATAATGTGCTTATTTCCAGTGGCATTCATAATTTTATTAATGTATTTTGTTAATACTAGCCATTTTCCAATTTTAGGTAAAGTGCTTTACAAACCTTAAATTACGATATAGTACTAATTATTATTCCCATTCTCCCTGTTGTCCCCATAAACCTTCCCTTGTAACTAAGAAACACTGTCAAAACCTAAAGGCAAAATGACCGCCTATCAACCACCTATATACACAACGTTCTGCTCTCCTGGTCCTCCCCAACTCTATCAAGACGTGAAAATAAACTTCATTTCTCTGATAGCAAACTTTTAAAATTCCTAATGGCTCTATAAACAAAAGTTCAGACAAACAATGACCAACAAAACAGTAATTTGGAAAATATACCCAAAGTGCAATCCTCACAAAACATTTCCAAAAACCTAACCTAACCCTCATAGGGAACTGCCACAAATTCATAATAAAAACTTGACTAAATGCCTTTAAATAGCAAATAAAACCAAAAAAATCACCTTCAAACTTGGACCAGAATAGAAAACCCAGATTTAACTTCATCTGTCAAATCCCCTACCCAGCAACTCTAACATCTTTTCTTCCTAATAAAGTGGGATCAAATCAAGGAAACAGAATTTGGAGCTACCAGCAACTTCATTGGTCACCAGGGCTTCTGACTATGCACTTCTGTATTTTGGGTCTAGTCTCAACCTGTGATTTTATTGGTGGAGGGGGAGAACTGTCTCCAAACATGCATCTGTGCAACTCATCTATAACTTTTAGTCTTAGAAGGCTGCTGGGGATACTGGGAGTTTAAAATGGCTCGCCCATGGTGACCAAACTAGTATATGTTCCGGGCAAAATTTGAAGTCCAGTTTTCCTGAATCCAACTCTGGCGCTCTACAATACCTCATACTACTTCTGCACACTGTAGCCCCTTAACAATTGCTTTCTCTTTGGCGTTATTTAAAGACTCACTCCAGGAAAGTAAACCCACAACTCTGCAGCTTAAATTGTTCTAAAGAAATGTTGTCAGGTGGCACTGAAAAGTTAAGAGACCTGCTTCAGTCGGGATGTAGAACGGGATGTATCAAGAAACAAGACTTGGAATCCAGTTCCTAGTGACTCCAAGGTCAGTTACCCATCTCCTATGCTGCTCTAAGGGGTGAGGGGGAAACTTGCTAAATTGACTCTAACCCAATCCCTCGATTTTATTAAAGAAAAAAAAAATGAAGCACACCGAAGGGAAGGGGGTCCTTCACGGGACTGCAGTCCGGGTTTTCTGACTCATTCCAAACATAACTTCTCCTGTGTGGACTCAGTCTATACAAGAGGACCCAGGTGCTAGAGGGACCTGGTTAAAGAGACTGTGGCTGGAGGTCTTAGCTCCCGGTGGACAGCCTGCTGGAAGCAGCACAGCTAGTCTTCAGGTGCCTCCAGCGTTTCCTGCTTCGTAAAAGGAGGCAGATGGGCAGAGCAGGGGGGCTTAACTTTGTGGGGTCCTAGGCCCCTCTGATAGTCTGGTAACGCCCCTCCTCGGAACGTCTGTAACGTCACAACGTAAGATTAGGATTTCGAAGGATACCGAGTATACTGAAATAGTAAAATTAAAACAAGTTTTTGTTTTTTTTTTTTAAAACGAGCTCAGGAGCACAAGGTGAGGAGCTCCTGAGGATCGCTCTCCACACCCCCTTTCGGCTCTGAACCCGAGATCCCCGGGGGTCTGCCCGACCCGCCAGGCCTCGGCTCCCACGCTCTAACATTGGAGCCGCGGCTCGCCCCTGCCCCGAAGCCGGGTGCGTCCTTCTTTCCCACGCGATGGCCGTGCTTGGTGCGTGCCGGGGCTGACCAGGCCTCCGGTCGCCCCCGGGGGTCGCTTTTCACACACTGCGGGGGGTGGGGTGGTCGTGTTGGGCTTTGGGGGGAAGGAGCAGCCGGCACCGCCTCGGAAGACCCAGGAGCGCCCAGCCGGAGGCCCTGAGACGAAAAGGCTCGGCCCCTGAAAACGCTCGGGTCACCCCGGGGGGCTCTCTCAGAAAGACGCTGCCGCCCCCTCCCCATGGGGCCCTCAGGCCTCGGGGACAGGCCCCAGCATCCTCCCGGCCCGCCGCCGCTCACCTCTGAGGTCCTCGGGCCAACGCCAGCCACGGCCTCGCCTCCGCCTCCCGCCAAGAGCGCGCGCGCCCCCGCTCCGGAGCGATCTCGGAGCGCGCGCCTCCGTCGGACCAATCGCGGCTCTCCTGGGCTACGGTCAGCCTGCAGGGACAAAAATGCTGCGCTCTGAAAGTGCCTAAACTCCTTCAGGAGAGTTTGACTCCTGCCCCCTCTCCCTGCGGCTGCAGTAACTGTCGTTAAGCGACCGGGGGCGGGGTGAAGGCCGGAGAGAGGCGTGGCCGAGTCAGTGAGGGGCGTGGTCAAGACCAGCGAGGGGCGGGTTTAAAGTGGTGGAAGCGGGGGTGTTAGTGCTGGTGAGACACAGGAAGTCCAAATCAATGGACCTAGAAGGCAAAGGGCTGCTCCTGTGATTGGTGTGTGGTGTGGGTGTGATAATCACAGATTTAGAGCTGGTCAGGATGGTAAACTGTGGCCCAGAGAGTCTAAATGACTTGGCCAAGGTGTTAAGGCAGCATTCAATCTCCAGTTCTATCTACTAAGTCACTTAAGACGCCTAGGAGAGGAGAGGCAGAGAAGGGAGAGAGAGAGATGGGGCAGACAGGGAGTGTAGAGACGAAGAGGAGGAGCGCGTGAAGAAGGGAAAGAGAAAAGCAAAGGAGAGGGAGGAGAAAAGCAAGGGAGAGAAGAAAAGCAGCCAAAAAGCAAGGGAGATAAAGATGGGAGACAGGAGACAAAAGAAAGGGCGATAGAGGAGAAAGATTGAAGAATGGGAAGGAGGAAGAAGGAAAAGGAACTGGAGAGAAAAAAATGGAGAAAAAGAGGAAAAGGGATGCAATGCATGCATGGGGTGACCACCCACACTGTAGTATTGTCTTTTCTCTAATATAGGGTATCATCTCTTCCCTTCTTGTCTCTGGACTGACACCGTCACTCCAACCTTTACACTAGGAAACCACCACCATGTGGGTTGGTTATACCAGTACTCTTACAGGATCCTGTGGTGAGGGGAATATAATCCCCCTACTCATGACTATAGTTTTCAATCCCCCTTTTGTTGTGCTTCTCCATACATAAATAGCCGCTAATACTAATGATACCTTTTGATCTTAAACATAACCATTTACTTAGCAATAAGACAGAAAGAATAATAGTAGTGTCATACACAGTAAAGCAAATGCAGAAATAATAAGTCCATCAAAATCCATACATAAACCTGAATTACTCTCTCCCACCAATGCACTCAATATCTATTGGGAGAAGTGGTCAAGAAGAGTAAGTGAGGAAAGCCTCACAAGAAAGGCTCACAACTCTAGAATTGTAAACATTGGTGCCCTCTTTTTGTCTTAGAAACTATTCATAAAAGTTCCTGAATATTGACTCTAGCACAGTAATGTCATTTCTCTTTGAGAACAAAGGATAACAATCAACCAAACAACCAACTTCTGTCATAAAACAGTTTTGGTGCCCATATTTAGTTATTAACCTAAACAGTTATCCAATTCTTCATATACATATCACTGAAGCATACTTTGCTCTCTATTTGCATTAACATTTAATAGCTAGTCACATTCAAAATGAGTCAGCTGCTGCTTTAGGACTCTCAGAGTAACTTTTTCTCAGAATTCAGAGCACCTCTATGCCTTATACAAGTGAACTATTAATTTAGCAACTGCTTTTTCTGAAAAATAGACTCATGCCCCCAAATATATAAACTGTTATTCCCTTAAAGGGTCATTCTCTTAGAAGAGATGTGGTGAAAAAGAAAGAAAGGAGAAAGAAAAGTGAAAGATACTAGAGAAAGAAGGAGATTGAGAGAGAAAGGAGAAAAAGCAAGGTCAAATTTTTAACCTGCCTTTGAGGTATTAATGTGTAGGTAGGGCTAAATCATTAGCAAGTTATTGTTTCCATTGCAATAATAGTGGGTAAAATAAATGATTTTAGGGTTTTTGTGTATTTTTGAGGGGGGTACTGATGTGGTATGAGACCTGAACCCTATAAAAAGGGGTTCCTCAGTCCTTGAACTTTTTCACACGTCAGCCCTGGTATTTCCCTGAGACATCTGGCCCATCCCAATATGATCTGTTCAACTGTCCTTTCATTGTGGCCCTCGAACCCAACCCAGCCATTCATTGTCTGCACCTGCCCCCCCCCCCAGGTTAGTTGCCACTCATTGATCCCATCCAGATTCTCAGTTTTTTTCTGTATAAAAGTACCAATCTTACCCCCATTGAATTGAGAAGATTCTTAGAATCTCGCCTGCCCAACTGGTGTTATAATAAAACCTCACTACTCTTAACCTCACTGCTCTGACTGAAAGAAGGCTTGAGTGGTCAAATTCTTTCGAGGCAGACCCTCCCTATACCCTTTCATTTTGGGGTTTTTAGCACCCCCAGATCACATGATATTTGGTTCCCTGACTACACTACCTTCAAGAACCCAGTAGTCCTGTTGTTATAACAAAGCCTCAGAAAAGGACTTAATTATAAATGACCTACATTGATTTAGTCAAAAATGTTGCATACATCATGTGCAACTATGGGAATCTAATTTATAAATTTACATGAATTCTTATATTTACTCTAGTAATATGGGAAATAAGCCAGCAGTTGAGAGTAGAAAATACTACATTACCGCCTACACAAATTTGATTCCTTTTTTACTACGCGCTTAGCTTAATCAATTGAAGAAAACAAATGCTAGGTTTTGTTTAGGGCTTCCAGCAGAGAGAGATGAGAGACAGTTTCCTTATATATCCAGCGCTTGATTGGATTTAAAAGAAGCAGCTTAGTGTAATGAAAAGAAGACAGGATTCAGTCAGGAGATTTGAGTTTGAATTCTGCCTCTGATGGATTCTTGGGCAAGCTATCTAAAGTAGAATGGGTTGCAATGAGAGATAGAGGGCTCTTCCTTGCTTGAGATCTTCAAAGGAAGGCTTGATTACTACTTGTCAGGTATGTCATACAGTACGGTTTTGCAAATGTAAGTTGAACTATATAGCTCATTCAATGATTATGTAATACAGTCTCTTTTAGCCTGCTTTCTTTTCTCTTAAATAAGAAGGTTGGAGTATGTGATCCCTAAGGCTTCTTCCAGTTCTAAATCATATAATCTAGTGCTTCTAGATCTCCACCGTCTCCAATCAATAGGATACTTATTTTTGTGTGTGTGAACATGTCAAAAGAATAGCAAAAGGAACCTTTATTCATTACTAGGCAAAGAATATGGTAGTTTCTCAGAGATTTGGTGTTTGTTTGTTTTTTGGAAGGGAGGAGAATTCTTTTCCTAAATCTATCAAACCTTAGTTTGGGATATGAAAACCAGAATCACAGCCAAATGTTTATCCTTGTATTCAGACAACTTTATTTGAAGGTCTTTTGTAATAAGGGCTACAAATCTCCAGAGCTATAACTAGGGTCAGGTGATTAGAGTGAGGAACACCAAAATTTAGCAGGAATTGATAGCACTTGCATGCCTTTAGCAGAATAGAAACAATTGAGTTTAATATCTAGTTAGCAAGGATAAATAGTTAAAATAGGAAGCTACCAGATGTCTTCCCTTGCACACACCATCTCCCCCAGAGGTGGTTTTACATTGTTTCAGAATCTCCACCTAGAGGAAATTGTGCCCTGGGGTCTCTATCTTTCCCTGAGAGAGTGATGTTCTTTCAGAGTCTCTCATCCCACAGACTTAATTTGTCTTTAGAAGTTGATTGAAGGGTATATTTTGTTCTAGTTGCCCTAAGTACTGAAATGACTAAAAGCTACTCTGCCAATCTTTTCCCTTAGGTCAGATACCTATATGAAGAGCCATTGGTTTTTCCTGTCTCCCTTCCTTTTTAGAGCTCTTTCAGAAAATTTCCCTGAGATAATTTGAAAATCCCATCCCTGCTGCATTGGAAGAAGATATGAGATAGAAAGACAAATGGGGAGGGAGCAGGAAGTCTCTAAATTTCCATACTCAACAGAAGGTGCCAGTGTAAGCACAATGCACACTACTTATGCACTTGCGGAAAGAGAAGGAAAATATGATCTACCCACCCTAAGCCATCAGGGAGGGGAAAACAGGGATCTTTTTGAGTCTTGAAAGAATAAAGTGTTTCCCATAGCACCCTGAGAGGTCCTTGGGTCCTTGAGGTAAGTGGACAGGGAACTGTGATATCCATGTGTATAAAAGCAGGTTTTAAAAGAATTTAGTTGCTGTGAGGGTCAAATAATTTGATATATGTAAAGCTCTTTGCAATCCTTGAAGTGCCATATAAATGTGAACTATTATTAACTGAACCACTCTGGCCTGTTTTTGAGCTGTGGCATATTTGGCCAAGACTCCATAGTAATCTCTTCATGGGCCTGCTGCCAGACAGCTGATCCCTTAGGAAGGTGATGAATACCATCTGCTAGGGAATGGCAGAACTATAAGCCAGCAAAGGAGCTGGGCTACAAGATGTAAAACTGAGGTACAGGACAGAGAACGACAAGAGACAGCAGTGTCGGAAACTTTTGCAGAAGGTGGATCTACAGAGGACAGGAAGCAGGACCTTCAGGACATGTCAGGGACAGATTGACATACTGTAGATAGAGGGGAACATTGATGTCAAGGGGCAAACTCCAGACTCTTCCCTTTTTGCTACTGCTCCAGTCATTGCTGTTAAGTCATGCAGACTAGGTCTCTAGATGAGTATAGCTGCCCAGTGAAGAGTGTGCTTCTTAATGTTCTGTGGGCTCAGATGTGAGTTCTTCCCGTGTCCTCTAATTTGTAAATAAAACTGTCTTTGTTTTGAACCTTGTGAATATAAGTGCTTGTAAGAAACACTGATGTCTACCCTAGGAGAACACTAGAATATGACATTCCCAAGTTCCATCTTGATGGGGGCAACATAGGAATGAATGAAAGGTTCTCAAAGTTCACCCAGGCTTTTTGTGTTCGGAACAGACCTTTAACATGAAGGTTATGTTTTAACATAAAAGTGATATTATAAATGAAAAAAAGTGAAGGAAAAGCTTCCTAGACAAGTTACTTTAATTAATCAGCTACAAAAGTAAGAGTTGTAAGATATAAAATTGTATCCC